TGAGCACCAGAAACCACACACACACCAAGGTCATAAGCCCAATGACAAAGGGCAGATCATTCAGTAACCATTCACTTTTAAAGACATGTTTTGCCCTGTTGTTCCGCAACTTCTTGTCATGTCTGTTGTTTCCGGTGATGGAATTTCATGTTGTTTGATTCAAGATTTTACTTAGATTGAGGTACATGTCTTCCAAATCTTACCCCCCTGAACCTGCAAAATCAAATGTTTCCAAACTGTCTGAGAATTGTCTCCATACATAACATATGACCCAAAAGACGTTAAAGAACACCCGCTTTTTTCATGCGAGTATACATATAGTTAATCTGGCATGGCTAGGTAATTTAAGATCGCGAAAACCTCGCGAATGGATCCAGGGATTTCTATCGGTTTTACCGGAATGCCAGCCCTGGAGATATAGAGGATGGGGCATGGGGATTAACTATATTCATGTGAACAATTCGTTTTTTAAAACTTCTTTTGGGTAGTCAGTTATTATTTGTTATTTTTACTATTTATGTATTATTCATATCCGGTGTGCAAGTAACAATACATATGTTTGCCCATTTTTTACACGATTCGACATTTTCATAATTAATTGCGGGAGAATGTTTATTAAAATATCACAAATCCTACGCGAATTCGGATTGGCTAGCGCTTTTCCACTCAAACCGTCATATGTAACCATTGAAAAAAACGCGAGAACGCGAGATTGCAGCACTTGACCAATGTCGTGATCTCGCGTTCTTATGCCTTTGTGTTAATTGCCTATACAGTCATATGTAACTATTTTCAAAAACGCGAGAACGCGAGATTGCGACACCTAACCGTGCTGTTGTGCTAATTGCCTACAGTCATCTAGTGGCTCAGTCGTCTGAGGCGTCGCAATTCGCTGTGTATACGTAGCGTTGCGTTCCTTGGGTGTGCCAGAAACCTATGATGATGGGTTTCGTCCCATTTCAAGCTGACAAGCCAGGGTATAACTGAAATATAAATACTGTTCAAAGCGGTGTTAAGCCAAACTCACTCACTTATTCAGAGCCATGCCGGTCCCTCAGGCTGGATATTGGGGGTACTTTACCAGTATAAGCATGCCCATCATGTGGATGTCAAGGCAACAATGAATTATTAGTTCGGGTTTGGTTGAATTTTAAAATACATGGGAGACGGAACACATTTTATTTTTAACATTTTATTGTTTTCTTATCGAACTATTTAGGGCATCTGTGTACAACTGCTGTCGAAGGGTGCGATTCACGTGTATCATGCGTGTTCAGATGGGCTATGTGTACGGAGTAGGAACATATATATTAGCGATATTTCTATTTCTAGGACCTTTGAGGCAATAGAATAATGTAAGGCGGGATGTTTTGTAGTTAGGTGGGAGAGGATGAAAATCTATTACCGTATTCGACGTAATAAGCGCCCACGGCGATATTTACAAATATATTGGCAAGTGAACAATCCCAATTAGCCCCCCTACCGATTTATCAATGTACACAAGACTTATTTAATCGTGTATAATACACACTCGTGTGTTACATGCACCCTTAATTATGGGCAATTAAATCCTGGAAAAATGTATCTGTCGTATATAAACAGTTCAGACTGTCAGCATAAACCACGAAATTTATCTTTCAACTCTGTTTTTTTAACCAAAGTGATATTCTAATAAGAGCCCCCTATTTGTAATTTTGAGAGCACCCTGGGCGTTTATTACGTCGAATACGGTAATTAATTTTGTATGGCCAAAAGTAGCGACTGTGGTGTCGTGTAAAAACATGGGACAATCTCATTTTAGCCGAATGCTACAAATTGGTCTTTGGGAAAATGTTTTTGATGAATATGCTAGCCGTGTATAATATTGCCTCATGGAGAAACCACTGGCGTGTGATTATTTCTATGACTCATGGTGTCGCCGCGAACAGCTGCAATACTGCTGATGTGGCTTTAAGCAATATTTACTCCCTCACTGACAGTGTTATTTTGTTTCCAGTTTCCTCACACTTTAATGTTTTCACTATCACTGGACATTCACGTACACAATTTCTTTTGTTAAATTATATTGAGCATGTTGAGGATTTTAATTAAAAGTACATAGGAAACAAAGGGAGAGGAGTGAGTGAGTGAGTGAGTGAGTGAGTGAGTGAGTATGGTTTTACGCCGCTTTTAGCAATATTCCAGCAATATCACGGCGGGGGACACCAGAAATGGGCTTCACACATTGTACCCATGTCGGGAATCGAACCCGGGTCTTCTGCGTGACGAGCGAACGCTTTAACCACTGGGCTACCCGATCGCCCCCAAACGGAGAGGACTCTACTCTAGGCTACATAGGACTTTGTGTATATAAATTACATGATAGCATTTTCAAGCTCAAATCATAAGTTTGCTAAATGCTGCCTGGAGAATGAAGAGCATGAAAGAAGCATGACCACCGGACTACTAACGTGCGCATGCGCCTTGACCTTATGATATTACGCATGCGCACGGACAGCGTCTAAAAAACGAGAACACGAGAACGCGAGAAAATGAAATGTCGAATTCTCGCATTCTCGCGATTTCGTGTTTTTGTGGCCTAATTTGACAAGTTGAGATTGAGAGATTGAGAGATTTTGCATCATGTTCAATACCTCTATAATAATTAGGATCAGATTTATCACCTGACCTATACAAAAGGATTATGAAACATGTACTCCATGATTCAGGGAAATAAGATAATTCAAAAATGACATTAAACAATAATTCCATGTACGGCAACAATAGATCGGAGGAGGATATGAAAAATTCTGAGATAAGGTTATCTTCCCTGGAGATTTAGATTTTTTTTAGTTTATTAGATTGTTTCTTGTATCTCTTCTTGAGTGATCGGAGAATTCAGTATACAGGGGACCGTATCATCAGCATTGTATTCAGTATCAGAATGTTCAGTCTGTTCTGGCAAATTAGCGTCACATTCTTCAAATAAGTTCTTAGAAATACGAAAAACATTCTGATATATTTACATTATCCTTTTTTGACGACTTAGTTGTATATTTCTTTAGCACAATCCAAAACTCTTTTGAATTATTTATATTAGCTAGTAAAATGTCTCTGACAGATGCATTATATAGTGACTGTCTCTTTTTGTTCCTTATTAGGTCATTATATTTATTGCGTTGAGTAATATATAAATGTAGTGATTCACTGTTCTTTGATTTTCTAAAACATTTCTGTAGCCCCAGCGTTTCTGATCGATTGAAATCACATTCTGAGTCAAACCATGGTTGATCTGATTTTACAGGATAAGTTTTCTTCATTTTCTTCATGAAGTCCTCAGCCTGGTGAATAGCATCAGTAAAAACTTTAACAGCTTGGTCGATATCGGTCAAGGCAAGAGTGCAACAGTCATTAATCATAGATGATATATCGGATGATAAGATATTCTCTCTAAATCTTTCAGAAAAATTATTATCCCATAAAAATTTGAAACCTTCCCCGTCTAGGTGGGTATCAGCTGACGAACTGGTGTGCATTTCTTGTTTGTTTCATTTAAGTCACACACACATGGATGTATACTTTCTTTTCCCAGCAGTTTAGTAAATTCGGGGCAGTTAATTTAGTGGGATCTGGATTAATTGAAGTCCGGTTTAGACAGATTCCGCTGAACTAATTTCAGCAGATAGACATCTTGGTAAAAAATCAAAACTCCATTTTTTAAAAAATAAGAGACTCTTAACGAGTTGAGTGGGAAAGGAGATTCGATATTGAAGCCAAATTATATATTTTAAGCATGTGGGTAACGGTATTCCATGCAAAAGTTGACTTTTATGCAAGCACCATGCATTTCACTACCCAAGAATGGGTATTAAAACATGTGCGTTAACGGGATTCCATATGTATTGTTTAGCATCGTGCTGACAACAACCACTCAGAAAAACAACAAAATTACGCAATTATTCAACATTGCAAAATGCCACGCCTGTCCGAAAATGAGCGTCTGCGAGCCATTGGTATGCTTGAAGCAGGATCGAGTCAACGTGACGTTGCAAGACAATTTAACGTCCACAGAAACACCATTCGGTGTTTATGGCAAAGTTGGCAACAGACGAATGCAGTCAGAGACCATCCTCGGAGTGGCAGGCCACGCGTAACCAATAAACGACAAGACAACTGGATTCGAACAACACACCTACGAAATCGATTCCAGCCAGCAATAGTGACTGGAAGAAGCATCCAGTGGGGACAAGTTCTATTCACTGACGAGTATCGTTTTCACCTCAGCCACAGCGATGGACGGATTCGAGTGTATCGATGTCGAGGTGAACGTTACGTCAATCATTGTGTCATGGAAGAAGATCGGTACCAGCGTTATGGTGTGGGGTGGGATTACAGCAAGACAGAGGACCCGTTTGATACTGGTAGAGGGAAATCTCAATTTACGGCGCTACCGCGGCGAGATCATCGGCCCTCTTTGCGTCGTCATGGCCCAGGCATTACCTTTCAACATGACAACGCCGGCCCCATACTGCTCGACTTGTTCAGGATTCATTTCAACAAAACAACGTGAATGTCATCCCCTGGTCACCAATCGAGCACATGTGGGATGAGATGGATCGGCGCCTTCAACGTCAACCACGTGTTCCACAGAGACTCCAGGAACTTCGAAACTTGCTCCAGCAGATATGGACAGATATCCCACAGGACTTTCTGCGACGCCTGGTCCATTCCATGAGACGAAGATGTGTTGCTTGCATCGCAACCAGAGGTGGACACACACGCTATTGATTTGTAAATTGACATTTTGGCATGTTCGTGGGTTTTTTTATGAAATCACGCATTTTCTGAAGTCAGTATGGCAAATTTAACCATTTGAGCACTTACAAAGTCTTTTATCTGTTGCAAACCGAAATTGTTTCAGATTTGGTAAAAAAATAACTTTGCATTAAATCTTGTTCAAAGTCACAGGAACTTTTGTTGGTGAGTATATATAACTTTATAGCATAGAGAAAACAACCTACCTTCTCCATTGTCACGAGTTGTACCCAGTTAGGTGCTGCTGCAAGTGACGGGATGGTTTTATATGCTAGAATTGATGTGTAACATGTGTAGCCTCTGAGATAGCTTGGCTGGCCAAATCGTTATTTTCCGTATATGGTCATTTGGAAAAATATCGACGTTTTTTTTATGCTTTCTCAACATCGGTTTTCCGTCCAAACAATGCCGTTATTTGACAGCGGAATTGACTGCGAATGAACGATTTTATTACTATTTTAATAACCATCCGCCCATCCCTTATAGAAATGATTTAGTCCTCGTTGAAGCAAGTCTGAATCTCCCATTTCACTCGGGCTCATTTCCAATTTAAATGCAGTTGTTGGTTTCCATCAAAAATGTTTTTGAGTTACAAAGTGTTAATCTAGCTCACAACCTGAGTAATACGCGAATATTGATCTGACTGTGGCCTTTTAAACAGTGCATAGATAAAAGTCCCGAGTTCTGTCAGAAGCTGTTCTAAGACTGATGGCATATGTACTATATTTTCAATAGTCAGGAACACGCTGCTCTACAGCCTCAATTGATTTTGTGGATATGTTAAAACCCAACACATCTGCAAACTGTAACTGTTTGTACCTGTTTTAATCAGCAACTTAAGTATGATTCTGGTACATTTTGATTTCAAATCATCACAAGATAGCTATAGCTTACACAAAGCTGTAGTTATTATGTCACCGTACCCCAAAAAATATATTTGTTCTTCAAAGACAATTAAGATTAAAGATTCAATTCACCATACAAGTAAGCGTTTTCAGACAAAGACAAACGCTGTCCAGTTTGATGACATTTTAGACCCCTGTGAATATTCCTGTCGACGAAAAGCCCCAATGTTCCTGGGAATCTCGTTGATACATTAATCCCTGGCATTTGGGACCGCCTCCGTGGTCTAGTGGTAGAGCGTCCGCCCGGAGAGCGGAAGGTCCGGGGTTCGATCCCCGGCCGCGTCATACCAAAAGACGTTAAAAGATGGTACTTGTTGTTACCCTGTCTGGCGCTCGGCATTAAGGGGCTAAAACAAGGACTGGTCGGCTCGGAGTCAGTATACTGTGTCTGAGTGGGGTATTCATGTTAAACTGCGGCATGGTATCTCAGTGAGCTAGCACTATACATCGGCATCAGTCCAGACTAATACAAGCAGCCACACACACACACACACACACACACACACACACACACACACACACACACACACTTGCATGCACGTCGCTATATAAGTGCAATAATCTTGGACGCGACGTTAAACCCAATTTCACCTCACCTCACCTGGCATTTGGCTACCCGAAGAGAATCATATCACGGACCTAAATAAGCTGGAAAAGAGACGCTTCTGGTAGCCTCTGGTCAACTCCGCCGCGTTATCGCAGAATGTTTATCCAACTCGGCAGAGACATCCGCAGTGCTACGCCGCAGCATTGTCCTCGCCTTACATGCAAGATGGCAGACAAGTGAAATCGTGTGTTATTTGACAATTTTAGATCGCTATCTCTATTAGTTAGCCAATAAAGGCCTTTGTGAGAAGGTTGAGAAGACATTTTGCTAACTTGACAACACTTGTGTGAGAAAACATCATTGATATTCGTATTCACGTATTTAACGAATTATAGGTCTCTGAATATTAATGTTTGTATGTAACCTAATTTGGGACTTTTTCATCACAACCCCAAATAAGGCCTCTAAAAACCCATAGATATTTTATTTTCTAAAAATGTGAGAATTCTAAGACGTTTAATACCAATATGCACGCGCATGCATTTATTTATTAAGCAAATTTAGTTAAATAATGTGTTATTGATACTCCAAAGATATTTCTAACAATGAGCAAGGAGAAGGGTCCCTCCGATCTATCCAGTTACACTGTCACTGGGAATTAGTAGCCTTGCTATGGCTCTAAACCTGGCCCATGGGCGAGAATATTTTCCTTTCCTCAAAACTCATGTTTTTCTTTGGCAAACACATAAAGGTGTGTCTACAAGCATCATGACATATGATTCAACTCATGTTAACTTTATTCAACTAATTTGTGGCGTTATCAAAATATTTCGACCATTTGCAAGAATATTTTCCTTTCTTTTACAAATACATAAAGGTGTATCTACAAGCATCATGACACATAATTCAACTCATTTTAACTTAATTCAACTATTTTGTGGTATTTGGCCCATGTGCCCGTGTATCCACAATAATTTATATACAGGCTTGGTATTTGCCAACAGCAACACCTACATAACTGTTGATTTACGCGTGGTGTGGCAGATTGTAATTGAACGAGAGCAGGTATTGTCGACTCACCTGTAAATAAGGCCGACACTGTAATTATATACAACGTACTACTGAGAATATGGAAATAATCATAAGAAGGCTGGGTTTTTTTCTGAACTGTTCCTATTTTCATTCCAAAAGGGGCAATGCATTTAAAAGCTGCTTTCGTGTCACAATAGTAACTCAAGTTTTCCTCAATCGGCTCCAAACATAATTCCCATTGGTCACTTCAACACCTCATATAATAAAATAATTATATCGAGATTTCGTTAGAATGTGAGATATTCAGCCAGAAGTTTTGCAATGAAAGACGAATCGGGTATTTTTCCATTACAATACGCGCACGTGTACCTGTATATCGCACACCTAGTGTCCCTTAATTGCCCCGTGTCATTAATGGAACGTATGTGGAACACAAAACCCACGTAAAAGCGTAGGCTGTTACCATTTTACTACAATACACAAGACCAAAGATGTGACGGGACGGTTTCTTCCGCTCTGTAGCCTCGTCTTTGTAAGTCATCATAAACAATGTAACGAATAGAAACGTAACAAGACATAAAATGGGAAATGAGAAAGAAACCAACTAAACTTTAATGTTGTGGAAAATAATGCCAATGAATTGGAGTACACTCGCATGAATTCGTATGATAGACTGAGGTGTGACCGGGTTCATTAAAGATCGATACAATATGTACAAAAGGTGAAATTTGTAAAACTTATATAAAGGTAACATCCAACCAAAGGCCCAATTTAGGGGAATAAGGTGAGGTGAAATGGAGTTAAACGTCGCGTCCAAGAATATTGCACTTATATTGCGACGTGCATGTACTTGTGTGTGTTTGTGTGGCTGCTTGTACTAGTCCGGACTGATTTATAGTGCTAGCTCACTAAGATACCATGCCGCAGTTTAACATGAATACCCCACTCAGACACAATGTTGAGCGCCAGACAGGGTAACGACAAGTACCATTTTTAACGTCTTTTGGTATGACGCGGTCGGGGATCGAACCCCGAACCTTCCGCTCTCCGGGCGGACGCTCTACCACTAGACCACGGAGGCGGTCTGAGGGGAATGAACTTCTTGGCAGAAGTGTACATATGTTGGGGTGTAAGCGCTTTCCTGGTGTTTAGATGTCTAGCCCTAACCACATCGTGCATGGAGAGTGTGGCCGATATCCATTATCGATTTATGCTTACAAAAGATGTATTAGTTACTGAATGAAGCTTATCTCTATGCCTGACTCCCTTTATCCAATAAAGTGTTTTGAGACGATGTTACAGGCATCCAATAAAGGCAAACAGAACACTGGGTTTCGAAATGTAAATATATCCTGTTTAGCTTTGGTTTCGAATTTATATGGAAACAGCAGTGTATTCACCATCCATAATCTTTCTTGTCTGAATTCATGTTACCCATGGAATATACATATGAACATGATTGGCAAAGCATGTTCCAAAACGGTACTAAAACATCATCATATTTATTGTTTTGGAAAAGAGCTGTACCCCGTTTGTATACTGTCAAGAAATTCAAAGTTGCCCAAGTTCAGTTTCGATGCTTTTCACATCAACTGCATATTGAAACTGCTAGATATTTTAATAAACCGCAAAGTGTTCAATTATGTAAATGTTGCAATTATTGATATATTGAGAATGAATATCACTTCCTATTAGTTTGCTCAGCGTTCAAACATCTACGTACAAAATATGCAGGAAACGTATAACCTTTACCCTGATAAGAATAAATTTTATCTTCTAATGGCCACAAGAAGCGGTACGTGTCTTCAAAACTAGCCATGTACCTTTGTCATGCGATGCTCCCATGTAAAATAAGTCTGAGGATATAGTGTCATAAATCTTCTATCATGTAAACTATTTTATATGAATATGTTATATACTCTACACGTCATGTAATCGAATGTAAACATGGGCCGTTGGCCTACATTTAGCAAAATAAAGTAGATATAGCTATTAGTTTGTAATGAATATGTTAAGTACAGCATTTGTCCAGAGTGCATCCAGATAGTTTCCAGGGCTGGACATACCCTTTGTATTGTATGTTTTGACACGTGTGCCAACAAGCAGTTTTATAACTAATGACTTAGCTATCTGTATCATTTCCAGGGTCAAAGAGGACAGTAAGTAAAGCGTGCCATCCTGAAAGTTGGGACACGTGGTGGCACTATCTATGCTTAAGATGAAACCTTGTGAAGATTTGCCCTGAACATTCCATATTGATATCGAAGTTGGAAGGTTAAATCGTGTTTTTCGTTTGATATTTAACAGCTCATACCAGTACTGCTTTCGTGAATGTGTGGGGTGGTATTATTTAGCATTTAGTATATATATGTCGGGAATCTAACCCGGGTATTTGGCGTGACGAGCAAACGCTTTAACCATTAGGCTAACCGACCGCCCCCTTTCAATTTGAAGGTCGAGAGTTGTCGAAGTATCATCAAGTGTTTCACACCCGAACAGCGCTCTTGGAAGGACGCTACTCTTATAGAGTTTGAGGCCAGTCAATGGATGGAGGCCGCCATCATGAATACCTGCGTGTATTAACTGAAAGGATAATCCTTTCTACAAATGTCTTGAAAAAATGTTCGCTGCTTTTTTTGGTGCTGGTTATTTAAAGAAGAACATGATCTGCAACCTCTGAGACCAGAACATCACCGGGCATCCATGAGCGGGAGATCTGTTTAAGACAATTATTTTAACTTCTTTAATAGGCATTTAGAAGTTGGAGTACTAAGT